AAGGGAAAAGCTGATTTCCTTTGGCGCATCGACCGCGTCAACGAGCGCTAAACACGCTCGACTTAACGCGAGACGGAGTAATGAGCGGCGAGACGGGATAGAAGTACATACACGCAGAAGGGCCGTCACTTACGTACCTATATCTCCGTATCTCGCTGCGACAAACCGTATAATATGACTCGCATTATACGAGCGACGCAGATCCGGGCGCGGAGAGCTACGCGAAACTTTGCCCAGAGTTGTTCGTAACACGCGTATCCTTAATCTTTTGCGTGGTAGATCTCTAAAATCCTGTCTTCTGAAATCCTGTTTTGTGAAAAGAGACATAATATTATAGTAATGAATATACATCGTGAAACAATGAAAATCCATTGCCAATCAAACTTACAAGAAATAATAAAGCAAGCAGCATTTTATTAATTTATAAATTATGTTGATATTTAATTTTACCACTTTACTTTATTCTTTGACTGTATAATATATTATAATATATTATAATATATTATTTTACTGTATATTATTTATATAGTCAAAGATTTTATTGACGCCTCAAATATTTACATTATTTTTAAACATTTTTATATTATTATAAGATAAAGTATGAAGATTTATTATATAAAAAAGAAACTATTTAAAAAAAGTTTGAATGTTTGAAGCATTTAAATGTTTTAATTATTGCCTTCATATATGATTCGAATTATTCGAAGAGCATAGGCACTAATGATTTATTAATTCAATGATCTACAAAAAATGACTTCCTGTTTTTTAAATTATGATTTTGAAATAAAAGAGAGTTCTGCAGGCTGCTTATACAATATAATAGCAGTCACACGAATGTCCGAAATAATTAAGCCTTTATACATCCGACGTTGCGCTTTGATCAGTCAGCTCTACATTTCATATTTTAATATCCGGCAAATGAAAAAATCGTGGCGACACGAAAGAATATAGGTGATGCGCCGGCGGAACCGGCGCGGCGCCGACGCGGCGCCGACGCGACGTCAGGACACACGAGACGATTCGCATTTTTCGAGAGAAAAACTCAATATGAACGCGCGCTAGACGTCTGCCCGTACCTCGGCGTATTGCGCGTAATTTAACGTTGCAACGCGAACGCGAGGTCCGTGCACATGGTGTTCGGATATGTCGATGCGCCCCCGATGACGTTTGTGTTTGCCCGCGCGTATATATGCGTGCCTTATATACGCTCTGCACGCAGCTTTCCATCGCATCGCGCACTAATCATGGTAAAAGCAACTGGCAGCGCGTTATATCCGTCATCCAGCGCGTGTCTTGCCTTACTTATAATGGAAATACAAGAGGTGTCACATTCGCGTGCCTTGGGATATATATCTTTCTCTATCTGTTTTGTTGTTGTTTCTCTTTCTATTATTTTTAAAAATACTGGAATATTATTCCACGGCAGTGAGTCTAAAATTGTCTGTATACATTGGCGCAGTAATACACCTTCAGGAGTTATATAGCGATACTTCAATGCTAACGGAATAATTAAAGTGTTCAAAAAAATTTCCGAGAAGAGACGAGCAAAGATCTTCGAATTTAATATAAGGAATCCTACAAGAATATTTTCTATCCTCTACATATGTTTAAAATAATATAAGTAAATAAGTAAAATAATAAATAAAGTAATAAGAGTAACAATAAATAAAGTAATATAAAATACTAAGTTAATAAATGAAAAGATGAGATATACTTATAATGTATGGATTTTTAAATATAGCGATAAATATAATATGTCTTCATCAATGGTGGAAATTGATTGAGTGGAGCATTTAACCCGTTTGCCCTTAGACCGTCGGTGTCAAGAAGAATTATTGGGTTGATTCGGGCGAAAAGAAAAAAAATCTCGTTGTAATTACCGGCGCTAAAAGATCGCTCCGAGATCGATTACACGCGTCGCATGTTTCAGCCATGTGCGACGCGTCGCACGCAATCATAGTGCTTTTTAGATCTGCGTCCCGCTATTCCTGTCCACCTGCGACCATCAGTAGGGCAAATTGTGATTTATGCGAGCCGGCGCGGCGTGCAGCCGTCTGACGAAAGAGAATTGTGAGCGTAATGAATTATGGACGCTCGTTCCTAATTCAGATATATGGTCGTGTAATCATCCTTCTGCTTGACACCCGTGTGTCACCGCGTTTCCGTATCATACCGCGATATCATTTATTCATTTTTCCTTTTTATTCAGGATTATCCACCGTTATCCGCGTATAACCACGTTTTAATCTTGGCTAAAACGAGTCCTGACTTGCGACGTAATGAACCGAAGCTGAATAAATTATTAACTATTGGGGATGCGTTTCTTAACATAAAATTAAAGGTAAAATAATTATTATCTTTGCTTTAAAAATTAAGAATTCATTTGTCAGAGATTTGTGAAGAGATTGTGAGAGTATTAAATTCGACGATAACAAAATATCTAGTTGGACATTTTGGGTAAACCTCAATAATTAAAGTTATTCGATGACATCCCCAAATTTGATCGTAAGATAAAATAAATGATATTTCGGCGATTACGTGCATCAGTTTACACAAGGTCCTTCCTCAGTTTCAATTGAACAGCGATTCGTGGCAACAACGTCTGTGTCACATAAATTGCGGTAATAAATGGTAATTATGTTACTGCATACTGCGGTTGCCCTATCGATTTGCGCCCGCCTATGATTTAATATCCGCGACCGTTTTACTATGAAATTGCACTCGAATCGGATAATAGCGCCTGGTAGTTATCAAAGAGGCGATATATAATCACCTCTCTCTCTCTCTCTCTCTCTCTCTCTCTCTCTCTCACTCGCACTCACTCTCGCTCTTTACGCTCTAGCGCAAATCTCTAGGGCTGCATGTTCGTTGAACCAACTTCCCCTCGATAGGTGCACTTTTGGGGTAGCCAGCCAATCCCCCACAATATAGTGGCTATGTTTCAAGGCCTCAAGTATCTGCCGAGAGGCGTGTAAGGACGAAAGACCTGCATGCCATCCGTGATAGGACAAGCCGTCGCCGCGTCCAAGATGAGATTTCAAATATTTCACGAAGCTGATGTAATCTGTTAATGAACCTTTTGAGGATATGCGTTCGCTCAAACATTATATATATATCTTGTTCATTTTACAAAGCCTGCGAAATAATTACGTTATCCTTTTTACGTGTAATTTTCAACAAAAAATTAAAATACATTATGATGTTAAAAGGAATTTCAATTTTTTTAGACAATATACAGACATAATTTCATAACTAAATTATTTAACATGAAAAAGAGAGAAATTTTTAAAAGATCACGAAATACATGTATGTATATTAAAATGTATATTACATTGGAAAGCATGAAAAATGTTAGAAGTGTATTATAAAGAACGAGAGAAAAAAAATCGATTTTATTATATATATATGAATCGCTGATGCTTTCTATCACAAGCTGGAATGTCCTGTTGTAAAAGTATTTCCGCCGTGAATATACTTTCAAGTAACATAGCACAAAGCCGAAGGAGAATCTAACGGTTCTATCATGCCGCGTTATCATTTTTCTCCTTTTTACTTGTCATCAGTCGTAAAGAGTCCCCTTTGAGACACGCGAGCTCCCGCCGCAAAGCACAGGCAATTTTGGTTTAAAAGCGAGGCTTATCGTAGAGTTACATCATGCGCCGATATCCGCGACGGCTCGTAAAATACGCGACGAGAAGCTGATTTTTGCTCGAGACGGTTTTTTTTTATTTCCGCGACTGTACGGATTTTAGTGAAAACAGATATGGACAGAACAAAAAGATAAAAAAAGAAGCGTTCACGTAACAAAACAATTATGGAACATGCCGTACCTCCAATATTAACATTATTAACAAGCTAAAATGACCAATTAAACTAAAATCAATTTTAAATGGCTATTTAAATATGCGTATATAACGCAAAATATCATATATAATTTTCCGAATACTGGCCTCACGTAATTCGCATTAATTTTGCCGTTGAAAACTGAAAATCTGAAAACGCGGATGGTTTTCCCAATATCGAACTTCCGGAGTTAATTCATTCTTTTGGCGAAATCCTCTCTCTCTCTCTCTCTCTCTCTCTCTCTCTCTCTCTCTCTTTCGAATAGTTCTCGACCGCGGCGGGCGGCGAGCTGGAGTTCAGCTTATTCGAGTTCTTCGCATCGTGAAAAGCCGCGGAAGGCCGACCGATCGTGTAAAATGAACGTCATTAGCGCCGTGAATCGCGCTTGTTTCCCGGGCCCTACAAGTACACCCTCCCATACCTCTTCCCGCATTCCCGTAATTCAGCCGGCACGAATGCGCAAGACGTCTCGCTTTCGTCGACACGCCGACATAGCGCGGGGGATGTATATAATCCCGCTAAATGTCGGGCAATTAAAAAAAACGCGAGGGAGCAAATTAGCCGGCGCTATACAGCTCATTAGTTTTCGCCGCCTTGGTAACGATGAAAGCGCGCGGAAACGTCGAATGGCTGAATGCCGGATATCATCGGGATACATTGCGCCGCTCCTCGAGCTCGCACAAATACCGACGCAAACACGCATACACACAGGCACGAACGTGGCCCGCGCAAGGCGTGCACACGAAGCTTTAATTAACTCCACGAAACATTGTATTGTAAAACGTTTGCCTTTAACAGCGTGTATTTCTAATTACGATATAAATCGCGCCGGCCGCGCGTTCCTCGGATAAACTGCTTCTCGAGGCACAACTCGGAATAATGCCAATTTAATATTTCCACAATTATACAGCAGTTACAAATCTCTGAGAAATCGATATTTCTAAATAAGAGCTTTAATCAAATTTTTTGCGAAGATTATCTAAATACGTAAATTGTATAAATTATAGGAGATTGATAAAATATTCGATTTTTTTTTACTGGATATTTATTTGTATATAAAATATAGATGAATAATCTTGTCATCTTCGTATAAATGTTAATTAAATCTCAGATTTTCTAATAATTAATATTTAAACTTAAAAACTAGCTTATTTAATTATTTATTAAATTAGTTATTTAAAGTAACAGTCGTAATATTAATATACATTAAATAGTTCATAAATAAAAATGTATCTTTCATAGATGTCACTCTTAGTTTTTTCTTAAAGAAAAACGTAAAATCCTGTCATATTCATACGAAAATAATTCGTCTCTCTGGAAATATTCTATCGTGCACACAATGCATTATATGTATATAATCACCGTGTTTAATACTAGATGTATTTATTACACACAATCAAATTGCCTCGTGCGCTTCATCACTCTTGATCCGAAAATTCTTGGCTAGCCAACTGGTAAAAGTAGGAATCGGCATTCTGAATCAATAAATTCGGCTCGTCGAATTCCAGCACCTCACCGTCCCCCATCACTAGAACTCTGAGTGAAAAGGAGAAATAGGCTTTTAGACAGAAGTTAGCGATAATTACATAAAAAAAAAAAAAAACTGATCAGGTTTTTTATATCTGCAAATTAATTGAGTAAACGCTTAAATCTGAAAGTTTGAAATACCTATCACAATGCATAATCGTTCTTATTCTATGGGCAATCGTAATGACTGTCGCACTTTGGAAGGAAGACTTTATTGTCGCTTGAATAAATTTGTCCGTCTCCTGATCTACATTCGCGGTGGCCTCGTCAATGCAGACAATCTGCGGGCGATAAATAAGTATCAAGGCTATTATACTGATACGAGCGAATGTTCGCGTCGGCTTTCTCGAACGGCAAGAAGTACCTTAGCGTTATGCAGCACAGCCCTGACTAAGCAGAACAATTGTCTCTGACCGGCGCTGAGATTACTGCCACCTTCGTCCAAGATTGCGCCCAGCCCACCCAATCGATAAACTAAAGAATGCACTCTACACTTCTCGAGGGTCTTGTATATATGCATGTCGGTGTACTGATCCAGCGGGTCCACGTTCTCTCGAATGGTACCCGAGAAGAGAAACGGGTTTTGAGGTATAATAGCTAGACGGGATCTGGAATGATATTTTTTTTTTCGCAATTATCGCAACATGCAGCGAGTTATTCTTCTTCGCAAGTTCACTGAATATTACCTCAACGCTTTCAGTGACAACGATTGAATATTCACATTGTCAATTAATATACTTCCAGAATTGATCTCTGTTAGTCTGAATAATGAGGCTAGCAATGAACTCTTTCCAGCACCGGTTCGACCAACGACGCCTATTTTCTCCGCTGGTCGCGTGACAAACGTTACTTCCCTCAACGATGGCACCAAGTGATCTCTGCAAATGTGATAAATAACGTTTCTCAAATAAGCACGTATTGCTCTTGAACCAAAAGTTCAAAGCTATTACCTGTACTTCAAAACGACTTCTCTGAACTCTATAACACCCTGACTAGGCCACGCGTAAGGCGGGTTAGTGCCCATTGTGTTCTCGATCGGAATGTTATCTAAATACTGCTTGACTCGTTCCACCGCAATCATTTCTCTCTCAGTTTCAGTAAAGGAGTTCACCACCCCAGTTAACAATCCCGTTACTGACAACGCGTACGTGATCGCTAAACCGATTAAACCAGGATCGGCTATGTTATATTGATGTTGTAAAACTGCCATAATGCTGACTCCGGCCAAAAGGGCGACACCGATAAACTGTAATCTCAGTGCGAGCCACTGAGCGGCGGCTATAGAGGCAAACTGCGTTTTCTGATTGGCTTCCAGTAGCAATTCGTTTTCCTGTTTGAAGCGAGGTACGGTGCGGAAGGCTCTAATGCTCGTCAGGCCGCTCAAAGTTTCATTGAAATGGGCGTACAAGGGAGACAGCGTGACACTGGATAATCGTTTTACCTCTCTCGACGTTAATCTGGAATATAATTTGGAAATATTAGTTTCAACAAATTATTATATTATTATATTTATATAATAATAAATAGCTCGTTATTGTAAAGACAATATAATTAAGAATCGGGCCAAAGACGAGCAAACAAATAGATGTAATTTTAACACTTTTATTTTCTCTATAAGCACAATTTCGCGATACTTCAGTTTCAACCTCACTAGGTCTTTCTCAATCGCCTCAAAAACTCAATTCGTGTAACGCAACGCGTTAATTATAACACGTAACAAAATACGGACCAGAGCACGTCACAAATTTAAGACACTTTATATTATCATGGAAATTTGTTTAACAAACTTTCTTGTTCGACACGATAACTTGAGACATTAATTTAACGTCACGTATAATTTACAATTCGGGATACCGAATTTTTGACCATGGAGTTCATTAGACAATTTTAGTACACATTTCTTTCTGGACAAAATTATATATCTACATTTGATGACTGCGTTTTATTTTTATTAATTTTTTAAATTTACCATTTTATTTCAGTATGACTCCGCTTTGATATTATTTAATTTTACTTCATATCGACTTATAATTTAATCTACTTATACACTATTTATAATTAATGCGTTACGTTACACAAATTTAGTTTTTGAGGGATTGAAAAAGAGTGAGGTTGATATCGCGAAATTGCTTATAGAGAAAATAAAAATTACATCTACTTGTTTGTTATATTTATATAATTCTAATTAATATATTATAATTATTAATGATTATATTTGTATCAATTTGCAATAATACCTGTAATGATTTTGGATCCAATGATAAACGGGTACAAGGGGTGCTAATACCAGGAAGATCCACGGTAGTCCATAAGCTGTAACTATAATGGTAGCAACCAAGCCAAACAGATGCGCCAACAAAATGTTAGAAATAAAAGGCAAAGAATCATCGATCGTATATGTATCGGACGAGAATCTATTTATGATCCTACCGACCGGTTGAATATCGAAAAATATTGTTCTTGCCTATATTTAAAAAAAAACTCTATAGTAAATTCTTAATTAAAATAACAATTATTTTATATCTCTAGTTCATATTTACCCGCATAACTATCCTTACGAGTTGCTTGTGCATTGTTATGGCTGCTTGTAGCCCACCGTACGCGAAGATGAAAGCTCTAATTAGAGTGAAGATGGAATTGAATACAGCCAGCAGGCTGTAAACTATTAAGTAATACCTCGTATCGTGGAGGCCGTAATTGTCGTAATAGAGCTGCAATTTCCCAAGTCTGGACGTGTCGGTTGAATTAGCCGCTGTGGCGTTAGCGTGCGTCACCCAGTACGACAGCCACAAGTCCGTAAAGTTTTTCGAGCTTTGCATCAGAATCATAGAGAGAAATATCGAAATCGCCAAGTATCGCCCTGTGGCCTTGAGGTAGCATGCATACACCGAGAAATGTACTGTCCCCTTCTCGGTCGCTTCCTTGTCAAGCAATGGATCCACCTCTTTTTCCGATAGATTAAATTCATTCGGCAGTGCCCTTATAGAGGCGACGTCCATGTCGGACTCGACGGAATCCGACGACAGAAGATAATCCTCCAAATCGGGCAGCACGTCGCTCGGTTTTCCTTGATTAATAATTTTTCCTTTCGACATCTCGATAACCAAATCTGCATGAACCAAGTACTGAGTCTGATGCGTGCACAGTATTCTGGTTTTGTTTCGTAGCAAGCCCAGAATCACATGCTGGAAAACGTGTCGGGCAACTTTGACGTCCAATGTCGCTAATATGTCGTCTAACAAATAAATATCTTTATCCGCATATATAGCGCGAGCCAGGGAAATCCTCGTCTTTTGGCCGCCGCTTAAAGTGTTCCCGGCTTCGCCAACGGCCGTCAAGTCTTTGTTGGGCAGTGAATTCAAATCGGACGTGAGCGCGCAAGCATTTAAAATGTTCCTGTTGTAAATAAATCAATCAAACTATAACTTATGTAATTATAAGAAAATGTATCGTTGGCATCAATATTGCAATGCTTACTTGTATTTGTTATGGTCATATGGTTTACCAAACAGAATATTATCTCGGATTGTACCGCGTTGCAGCCAAGGATTTTGTTTCACATATCCAAAACCTTTGTGGTCATCATTAACCGCAATTATTCCACTGGTTTTGGTAATTTCCGCTAAAATGCCGTCTAAGAGTAAAGTTTTTCCGCTTCCAATCTTGCCCATAACGCCAATCAATTGTCCCTGCGCAAAATATGTGAATATGAAACAGCACACGTCCCTGGAAAAATCTTAAATAAAATTTATTCTTACCTTTTGTATAGATAAATTAATATTATACAAGGCGAAAACGTCGTCGTCTTCGAAGGTAACGCTTTTCTTAATGTCGGTGCTTGAAGATGGAGACACAACCTTCGGGCTTGCATTTGTAGCAATATCGTTATTCCTCGGACGGTTCACAGTTAATGTTACATTTTGCAGCAATAAATCAACGTCAGGAGTAATATCTGTATAATACAATGACGCGTCCATGTCCGGTAGCTAAATTAATAAAATAATAACTGAGTATCTCCAGATGCAAGAGTGCGTTTTATGGATTGTTATTATGCGAGTGTTATTTTATGCATTTTATGCGTTATATTATATATAATTTAATATATCTATTATATAATTTTAATATACATACATCCAGCATTCTTTGAATTCTCTTAAGAGACACCCACGCTTCCGTAAGGCCGTTTAGAACCCATGGAAACGCATTTAAAGGTCCTATTAACATGTTCAACAACGCCATACTGGTAAAAACCGTTTTGGCATCTAGTTCATTTCCGAGCAATACGTACGTTGCAAACGTCAGTATTGCGATAATAACAGGTGTAGTTGCCCAGAAATAAACACAAAGGGCATCTAAATATTTTCTACCTCGTAAATATTTTACTTCATTCTCCCTTATCTCTGCGTAAAAGAAAAAAAGAAATGTTTCGATAAAAATGCTGAAAAAGCAAGAAATTATATTTATGTAAAAGCATACTAACTGAAGATATTTCGTAAGAAGTGCTCCTCCCATACGTTAACTTTAATTGTAGTTATCCCGCGCAGTACCTCCCCCATCAGCTTCACTCTTTGATCTTTATATTCCATCAGTTTAGTGCTGAGTTTGGCAATTTTACTTGCTATTATTTTATTAATTGGTATAAGTACTACTGAAAACGCAACACCGGCTAAAAACGAAACTCCGATTTGCTTATGCAGAAGATACAGTGTCACGAATAACTAAAAACAAAAAAATTTTTTAGTTTCATCTTTTAAGAAATGACAATAAAGAGTTAAGTTTACTTGAAATAGAGAACAATAAGTTTTCTTAATGAAAAAAAAAACGGATTCATACCTATATCAAATAATTACCTGTAACGGTATACTCCAGAACGTATGAAAACTAGGGCAGCTATTGACCAATCTGTCGCTATCGGTGCTCATAAAATTAACAATTTCGCCAAAATTAAAATTGGAGTTTAAATCAGTGTTAGAAGAATGCAACGTTTTTCGATAGACTAAAGTGATAATTGCAGAACGAAATTTCAAGCCCACAACAGACATCCAAAATGTAAAGTGCGTATTACAAAAGGCGCCTAAAACATTATTATTGTAATTCATGTGGCATAATATTTAAGAAATTTCGAAAAGTTTCGATTTTATACCAATTATAGCACTCAGTATTATAAGGGACGCATATAGGTATCCATGTGAGATCGGCTCATTTCTATCTTCAATGAAACCTATCAATCTATTTAATAATATTGGTCCCATAAACGAGCTGCAATCTGCGATAAACTTTAATATTCCAACTGCGTAAAATTCCCAGCCAAAGCATTGATGCAGCAAGTAGAACAGCGTCACTTTTTTTGTAACTACTTTTACGTTCGGATGAAGCGGTATTTCCGAGTTACTTTCGACTCCGTTGTTCGCAGTTTTCGGCTGCAACATTTCGCAAGATTACGAAGATTATTACGAGAATTAAGTAACTTGCAAAACGATTATCACGTGTGATAGAAATATTTAAAATATTTCAAAATAGTTTTATCATAAATGAATTGCAGGATTATTTTAAGCCTTTTTGTTTACCATGCTGTGTAAGCATTTGTCAATTTTATGACTGATTACATTGGTGCCGATCTGATCGGGTAAATCGTATAAATCATCGGGATGATTTAGCAACCCCTTCACACCCTTTTCCATCAGCGGTGTCACCCAGTGGAACAGAAGTTTAGAAAAGATGGTTGTATCTTCCATAGCTATTCCGAGGTAGCTCGGATCGTGCTCGTCCGGAAATTGTACGTACGAAGAAGTGGGGCTACTCAGTAGTGCAGTGCGTTCTCCTACCTACAAACACATTCATCCGTGATATCTCCGCGTATTCGATAATTCAACAATTTCAGATATCGCAGGCAATTAAGTAAGTTTTGCAACTTGAGTATTTTCGGACAATCAGAAACGCGGATTGACGAAAGACGCCAGATAATTATATAACGGCTCACTGTGGCATTTCGCGGTGCTCTCGTCTGTGCCGGCCTGCCAGAACCGGGTATCAATGTCACGGCGTACAGTATCAGGAGAGCGACCACGGTGATACTGAATCCCAATGATAAATTCGGCAAAACCTCGTCTTTAGACCTGTTATTGATGTGGCTGCGCAACAACAGCCCGGAAACGACGATCAGAAGAAATATCAATGCTCGCATTAACACCGGCCCACGTGGGTTCGAATTGCGTCCACGTTTCAGGCTTAAGATAAAACAAAGGTGTACAACCCATGCTAAACCTTCGGTTCCCGCCACGAGATAATCCACCGGCTTAGCGGAGGTGGATTTGTCGGTGACATTCGACTCGTAATTATCGATATACGATGCAGCGGGAGTCGTAACGGTGTTCCCAACGCCGCTCTCTGGCGACAAGATTGACTCGGCAAATCTAAGAGTGCGATTCAATCCATCGCGTATCCTGCTTATGATATCCGTTTCGTCCTCCAACGACGAATTTACGCTCGTGTGAACGGAAACGTCCAATCTCCTGGGAACTGGCGTGCTGTGGTCTTGCACCTCGTCGTGCACCAGAGGTATGAAGGTGTTAGTCAAAATAATGTATGCCCTTATGACAGGCAATATCACGAGGCATATTGTAATTAGGATCCTTATGTTTATAGCGTGCTGTCGCCGAGACGAGGACGTGTGTGGACGACTTTTTCCACAGTGGTACGCAGAAATTATAGCTATGAGAGCTAATACTGGTATCTGGAAATTGAGAAATAAATTTCACTTGTGCAAGCAAATCGCTCGAAGTTAAAATCTTGTTGCTTTTCACCCTCGAATGCGAGATTAAGGTTTTATCGCATTACCTGAAGACAGAGCTGCTGGAAACATATACTTAAGTCATGCGTTTCGGGATTCAATGGATCAATGTCACCACGACGTCCACACAACTCGGTCCAGTTCCACTTCCATCTCTCCACATCATCCAACCAATTCTCCGCCATGCTGCAATATTGCAATTATAATTAACTCACGATTAAGAAATCTTTATCTTTAATAGGTTAAACAAATATTGTTGAGTCCAACGTGAACCATTTATATCAAAACGTACAAGCGTGGCATATAAACATAAACCTGTATAGTGTATGGCATTGCTGCGATATTGCAGGCACATATTTTTTTCTTCTAAGTACGAAGAAAAATTTCTTCGAAATATATTCGAAACAAAACAAAAAGTATATAAGAATAAAATACAGATATAATAAAATATTATTTACTGTTTTTTTTGTTTAAAAAGATTATTACAGCTTTCAAATTTTCAAATCGCTCGTCCGTTGAATAACATAATCGTTTATTAATATAAATATATTTTGGGCAGCATATTATATATTCGCGACGCGAGAAACTGTAAAATAATACATACCATGGCACGCGATTGGCTTGATCGATAGATTGATAATCAATTATAGGAACTGATAAGAGGCTTATTAATACGTCGATAAACATTGTAGAGATTAGCGTCGTTAATCGGAAAAACGTACCTGTCGGCCGAGGAATTTCCATAAATATATTGAAGCGCACGCGAGCAATAAAACCCGCAGTATTTATCGTCTCCTCCTTGCTCGCATCACGTCTCGCTGCGCTTTCGACATCGGCGAATCACTCTGCTCTGAATCACTCGGAGAGGTTATGTTTCCCTTGGTAACAATCGACACGCAGCGACGCAGACCGCGGGGCGCGGATGGACGACTGTCTCCGAGGACGCAAGTTTTCGCGGCGCATTCTGGATAGAGCCGAGAACGTGTGCACTGAGAATACGTGTGTCTATTTATCTCTCGTTTATCTTACTTATCACGAGCGACACAAGCGTGATTCCGCTGTGGAGAGGCAGACGCCGGACGATGAGAGTTGTGTCCCTCCCTCGGCTTATAGGTTAACCTTCGTACCTACCTGCAGCAAAACAATACAACAACACTGAGTACACAAAAGTGATTCATCTCGGCTGATTCATCTCGCGAATCGCAGCTCGTCCCCGTCCCCGTCTCGCTTGACTCTGATTCTGGGATCTGACAAGGGCTACAAGAAGAAAAAGAAGAAGAAGACTCTGAGTCTCTGATGAGCGAGGTCGACGAGTCGAGCAGCCGGCGGGAAAACATGACTCTTGGGACGGAAGGGAAGCCCCCGTTGGACGGGAGTGAGGACGGCAACGCCGGCAACGGTAAACAGAGCGTGGACCTTCCTGTGTCGGACGTGAAGAGAGATGCTCTTGGGGACGAGCTGCTGGATCACGTGGCCAACAGCAAAGCGATCTTCAAGAGCCAGCAGAAGGAGGAGCCCGAGCTGTCGTTCGAGGAGAAGCGCGCCATAGCGGGGAAGCTGTTGGAGAGGAGTCACTGCTTGTTCCTCTCCAAATTCGGACGTTACATGAGGATGGAGCATCTGGAGTACTTCGGCAGGAGTCAGGAGTACGAGACGGTCTATCATGTGAGCAGGCTGCGGAGATACTTCAACAACTCCACCCGGCACATCGACGTCAAGAACAGACGGTACGAGGCTCTGAAGACGCTGATAGAGAAGGGCGAGTACTTCAGCGAGCGCGAGATGATGAGGAGAAATCCACTGTTGTACGAGCACCTGGTGGGGCGGTATCTGACGAGGGAGGAGAGGGAGGCTAGGGACAACATCGACACGAAGAGCGCAAGTTATGTGGATGTACTTATGGAAACCATCGAGAGGAATAAATTACAAAACCATTTGGAGTCTCAACAGAGGGAAGAGGACGAGACACGAGAAGAGAGTGATTCGGACGATTCAAATGATGATGATGATGATGATAGCGTTGAATCCGAGACAAAGGAAACAGAACAGAAACATTACCAATGGGGTGAAGTTGTGGATGTAACAAAACACAAGGATAGGAGTAGAGAAAAAAAGAAAAAAAAAGAACAGGGAGAGAGATTACAAAATAAAGTACATAAAATATCGAATGAAGAAATAAAGTTATTTAGACAAGAGTTTGTTACAAACATGTACCAAAGTTTTCTGGATGGTAAAGATAGGGATTTCGATTACAGGTATATGTTGTGCTAATCAATAAATATGATATAAAAGGTTTATAATAAATGTTTACGGATCTTTTGGAATATTTTAATATAAACTTAATTAGTTTATCATTAACATAATATTTTTGTAGTAAATTTTTATAATTTATGTGATTAATTACTCTATGTCTCTTAATATACATGTATGTAAATATAAAAGATAAAAATTGAAACGTTATGTCTTGTAAAGATATAATATTTATTTCGCATTGAATTATAGTTTTTGAATAGTGATTTACAAATGATAGACGTTTGTTGTTTTATAATTTTTCATAACTAAAAATCATAGAAAACTGCAACTATTTTTACAGATTTTAAATGTGACAGTTTAGTTTATATTTTTTATTATTTGTTTTCAGTACTACAGACGATAATGAAGCTTATGATAACGTAGAATTAAGGAATCAAGATGAGGAGGAAAAGTACTTTGATTCAGAAGCCCCTGAAACTGTTCTTCCACATAATGAGTGCAATGATCAAAACGAATCGGAAGATGAGTTGGATATATATATGAGATCGCTGAAGGTTAAATAATATTTTACACTTTACCAATCGCCTCGCTATTGTTGGCATTGATTCACAGAAAGGTTATTTATTCACTAGGAGCAGACTCCTACAAATCCACACTCTTTGGATAATCAGACATAGCCCTGTGTACATTGGGTTACAATAAATATATTTGTACCTGGCAAAAGTCTAATTGCATATTTATTGTAACTGCATCTCTTCATTCCTTACTCCATTTTATTATATGTATATATATATATCAAATTATATATATATATATATATATAATGAAATATATATTAATTAATACATAAAAGATATGATTTTCTATTTTAAATATTTTTTTAAAACATTTTAAAATCAAAAAATTAAATAATTTCTTTTAATTAATAATTTATAAAATTTATTGACAGTATATTTATTATTTTATTTTTAGTTTATTATTTGTGATCTTCGCAATAGTTATTGAGATACTAATCATTTTAAAAACAGAAAAAATTTTACATAATGGCCAAGTTTTTGCTTTACTATAATTCTATTGATCATTTTAATAACTTTAACTGTTTTACGAAACTTAAAGTTATTTGGAAAGACAATGGCATTGAACTTTTGCTGCATATAATTTTAAAAATTTAAACGATTTATTAAAAAAATATTTTTGTGGTTTGAAATAAAATATTTTTGTCTCTATGTCTAATAAAATACTTGTATGATCTCATATTTGTTTTTGGACAACTTTTATTTGTTAAAATAATATTTTTGGTTTAGATAAGATGTACTTAATGTACGATATACTTGTATATACTTGGCGTAAATTTTATTTTTAATTATTAGTATCTCGATAACTATTGTAAAAATCGCAAAATGATACAGGACTTTTTTGTTTAGTTTGGTCCACACTACCACAATGCCTACAAGCGCTGTACCATTGAGTACGAGACACCCTTAGACGAGCATACCCTTGTCTTTATACCATGCATTTATACATGACAACGGATAATAATAAATATAATAAAATATAATTTATAAATAATATATATGCATAAAAGATAAAATTTTCTATTTTTAATATTTTTTGATGTTTTAAAATTTAAAAAATAAATTTTTTAAATAATTTATAAAAATTATCGGCAGTTTATTATTGTCGCCAAGTTTTTTGTTTCTCGTTTTTTATATTCGTTTAATTCAATCTGATGTATTTATTGAATTTTACATGTGTAAATTTTTGCTTTTGTTTATTTGCATTTCAATTTGTAAGTTTTTAAAATGTACATTTTGTAAACGGATAAAATACATTTATACACGGCAACGGAAAAGTCCCGGTGAGCGATTATTCTATCAGTTATCAGCTATATACTTCGGCATTCCATGGAACTCTGGCGGAGTCGGGCGTATCTGATGTCCTGTCAATCAAAGTCGCCAAGGCGTGTGTGCGACAAATAATTGTGTATATTTCTTCTCAAGACAATGGTAAGAGTCGTAGAATTTTGAGATTGCATGTTTTCGCAATTTCGCTTGCTAGGACAAGTAGTCTCCTTTAGATTCGATCCATGTGGTACTAATCATCCCGCGACGTATTAGCGTAGCGTTGTACAGGTTATCCGTTTACGCAAGTGTTTGAGGAGTGCTTCGTCGAGGCTTTCAATGATATAAAAATGAAAATGCTTAATTTTTTTTATTTCTGTACGAATCAATCAACGCTTACGTAAGTCACAAAGAAAATGTATGTCTTGTTGTTATACTGTGATTTTATTACTGTGGTCTGTTTTGACAGTTATTATGATTTGATGTTTGCTCCGAAAACAGTTTCTTAATAATTCGTCAAGTTTTAATGATTTAATGTACAAATTCCTATACTATGGCTAGTTGGAGGTAATTATATGTATCGTCTGGCATTATGAGTTGTGTTCTCTCCTTGCTTCGCTGTCACTGCTGTCAGTGTCCACTTTTTACAAATAGATTTAGCTGTCCCTGTTTCGACAATGTATTTCCCATTGCATCCGTAGTGCATGCTTGAGTTGGATGGCTTACCTAGCATGGTACTACCTGGTGTGCCTGGTAGGTATCTTTGTTTTTCTCGCAGCCAATGACACCCGCTATATCAGGCATGGAGGAACAGGAGAAATTGCTGGAGGACGCGATCGGCGTGGTGAAGGTCCAGGCTTTCCAGATGAAGCACTGCCTGGACAAGACCAAACTAATGGACGCGCTGAAACATGCCTCTACCATGCTGGGAGAACTCAGGACCTCTCTTCTGAGTCCGAAGAGCTACTACGAATTGTGTATCCTTGTTAATTATTTAATGACAGTGCTCGAATTGTATTCGGTATCAGCACATGGCTTTGACGTTTGACAATTGTAAATATTCCTTATAACAACTATGATTAGACATGGCAATCACGGATGAGTTGCGGCACCTGGAGCTCTATTTGTTGGACGAATTTCAAAAAGGGAGGAAAGTTACGGATCTCTACGAATTGGTACAATACGTTGGCAATATTGTGCCCAGACTGTATGTATCTGCCTTGTAACTTCACGTTGTTATTCTTTCCATTGAAAAATGAGATATTTTGATTACTATTCCAGCTATTTACTTATCACTGTTGGACTGGTTTACATCAAGACAACGCCGGGCTTGAAAAGAGATCTTCTGAGAGACCTCGTGGAAATGTGTAGAGGCGTGCAGCATCCACTGCGCGGTCTGTTCTTAAGGAATTATCTGTTGCAATGCACGAGGAATATTTTGCCAGACGTTACCGAGGGCGACGATGAAGATGGAACTGTATGTATTTTGCAAACTGAAAAATTTTTCTCGTGCAAATTGTTATTTCTGTTCAATTTCACTTTCAGGTTCGCGACAGCATAGATTTTGTTCTGATGAATTTTGCTGAAATGAACAAATTGTGGGTACGTATGCAACATCAAGGTCACAGTAGGGACAAAGAAAGAAGAGAAAGGGAAAGAGAGGAGCTCAGAATTCTAGTCGGAACAAATCTTGTACGACTCAGTCAACTGGAATCTGTAACGTTGGATAAATATAAAAAGGTACATTTTTTAAAATCTCTAATCATAATCTTTTTTTCAACCAAATTTTATTAAATTCGGTAAAATTTCTGCTAATTTGTTTTCAGCTTGTATTACCAGGAATCTTGGAGCAAGTTGTTAGTTGTAGGGACGCAATAGCACAGGAATATCTTATGGAGTGTATAATTCAAGTAAGTCCTTATATGTGCCAAAAATGATTTATATTAAAAATAACAATGATCAGAAAATTAATATCTTGTATATATTTTTATATATTCTTTTTTATTTTGTAGGTCTTTCCCGATGAATTCCACTTACAAACGTTGAACGCGTTTCTGAAGTCCTGTGCGGAATTGCAAAATGGAGTGAATGTGAAAAACATAATTATATCGTTGATCGATCGACTTGCAGCCTTCAGTCAACGGTCCGACGGTGTAGGTGGGCCGGGAAGTCCAAACCAAGTGCCAGGAATTCCACAAGACGTCAAATTGTTTGACGTATTTAGTGATCAAATTGCAACTATCATACAGGTATCGATTAAATAGATTAAATTTCATTACGTTTACGACTAGAATGACTATTCGATGATTATTAGATACTGCACATCAAATGAAATATCATGATTGAAAAATCAAATTGTTCCTTACTCACACCTAGTTTAAGTCTGAGAATAGTCACGGAATATTACATTATACTTTAAAGCATTTACTTAATTTATATTATATATATATATCTTATATAAAAAAATCTCTTCATAGACGAGACAAGATATGCCTCCCGAGGATATAGTGTCCCTCCAAGTGGCACTCATAAACTTGGCACACAAGTGCTATCCCGATCGCGTAGATTACGTGGATAAAGTCTTGCTTACAACGGTTCAAATATTCCAGAAACAAAATGTCGATAAGTGAGTACAATTTATATTATGCATGTTAAATAATTAACATATATTTGCACTGTATATTATAAATTTCTTTTTTTTTTTCTTAGGTTGGAGTACAATAGTGCTGTTTCACGAGAACTAGTTAGATTAATGAAAATTCCCGTAGACAATTACAAGAATATATTAACTGTTCTTAAGCTCGAGCACTATGCGCCCCTTTTGGAGTATTTCGATTATGAGGGCAGGAAGTCACTGGCTATATACATAATAACGAATATTCTGGAGAACGAAACGTTGATTCCGATGCAAGAGCAAGTGGACGCAGTGCTCTCGATGGTGACCTCCCTGGTTCAAGATCAGCCAGATCAGCCCAATATAGAGGAAGATCCCGAAGATTTTGCCGAGGAACAGGGATTGCTTGGTAGACTAATACATCATTTCAAATCGGAAACGCCGGACCAGCAATATATGATACTGAGCGCTGCGAGGAAACATTTCAGCGCTGGCGGTAACAAAAGAATAAAATTCACTCTACCACCCATAGTTTTCCAAAGTTATCAATTAGCCTTCACGTACAAAGCATTGAAGGATCAGGTTTGTAACATAATTGTACATCTTTGTGAAGCAAGATTATTGAATAGCAATACAAACTGTGGTTTCTTCTCTTTCTTTTCAGGATGACATGTGGCAAAAGAAGTGTCAAAAAATTTTCCAGTTCTGCCACACGACCATCACAGCGTTAATGAAGGCCGAATTAGCCGAGCTACCCTTACGACTATTTCTGCAAGGCGCAATAGCGATCGGCGAGATTCGTTTTGATAATTTCGAAATGGTTGCTTACGAGTTCATGAGCCAGGCGTTCTCGATATACGAGGACGAAATAAGCGACTCGAAGGCACAGCTCGCAGCGATCACCTTGATCATTGCCACATTCGAGCAAATGAGTTGCTTCGGCGAGGAAAACGCAGAGCCTGTACGCAATCAGTGCGCTTTGTATGCCAGCAAATTGTTGAGGAAGCCTGATCAGTGTCGGGGAGTCGCCACTTGTTCGCATATATTTTGGTCTGGAAAGTCTTTGGCTACAGGCGGGAAAGAGGTACAAATCTAACTTTGATCACTTTTAACAAATCATATGAAATAAACGTAGACGTAAAATAATTATACGAGAAATTACAATTTTCAGATGCAAGAAGGTGGTAAAGTATTGGACTGCTTGAAAAAAGGTATTAGGATAGCGAGCCAGTGCATGGACACGTCTGTGCAAGTACAACTGTATGTGGAGCTGCTGAATCACTACATTTACTTCTACGAAAAAGGAAACACAGCTGTAAGATAATTCTGCAAATATAGGATAGCGTATAAATTTTTTTTAATTATTACTCTAATTAATTTTTTTTCTAGGTAACCGTGCAAATATTGAATCAAGTGATTGCGAAAATTAGAGAGGAACTTCCCAATCTGGAAGCGAGCGAAGAAACCGATCAAATACAGAAACATTTAGCAAATACGTTAGAGCATTTAAGAAATAGGATGGAATCGCCAGACTCCGATGGACTCTCTTATCAAGGTCTTGTCCTTTAACAGAGCGGGATCGATTCATTGTAATTTTGTAAATAAAATATTTCTATAATATATATAGGCAATATTGTAAGTTGGTTGCACCAATTGCAGTTAATATTGATTCTGATTAATCTTATTCTCATTCTACATTTTCTCAAACAGGATTTATAAATTAGAAATGGAAAAATGGAAGATGAATAACTAAATCAGGATCAATTTGTTGCGATTGTTGTTGCAATTCATATGAGATCAATAGTTATGAGATTATTTCTTAACTGGATATAGATGTTTAAATTATATAAATTGCCTACACACGAAATGATTTGTCAACGATATATCAAGCGTACATATTGGACTTAATTAATAGAATTATATGTATACTTGTTTTAATAAAGATTTATTACATATACACTTGTCAAGCTTTAATAAAATTCAAGTTAGGATATCATAGATTAATAACTACGTCTTGCAAACGAATATTTCCATGCAGCAATAGTTTTTTACATATTTTCAAAATGAAATAAAATAATGCCAGAGCTCTCTTTTCTTCTTAGCTTTTTATTTTCTCCTTTACTCTCTCTCTCTCTCTCTCTCTCTCTCTCTCTCTCTTTTCTTTATCTCTCTATCTACTTTCTTTTTTATACGACAGTGGAGGGGATATGCCGACAGCGCGCGGCGACAGCGGGCCACG